AAAAAAAAAAAAAAGGCCAAGAAATGTGTTGTACATATATATATATAAGCAGGTAGTTGTTAACCTCGAGAACTCTTTCTGCAGATTCGTAACTATAACGAGATTGATGATAGCCCAAAGCCCACTTTGAGGGCATAAAAATTGTTCCTGGCAAAATACACACACAAATACAGGGAGGAAAAATTAACTATAACCAGAACTTGGCACACAGGAACAATAATTAATGAATATTTAGTAGGAAAAACAAAATTCTGAATTGAAAATACCAGTTGCTCTTGCGAAAGACGCGAGAACAGCAGACGGCGAAGGAAATGGGCCGAAAGTGATGACAGGATATGGAAATTCCGACACGAATTTTATGGTCGACGGCTCTTGCAGATCAACCTGCAGCTCAAACATATATAGGACAACTCTTACAAAAAGAAAAGAAAAAATAAAAACCAAAAAATGTACTTGGGCAGTTCAAAAGAGATCACAAAGAGCACCTCACAAAGTCGTGTTGTATCCGCAAGAACCCCAATCGCGTTCCCGTTATCAAAGAGAGCCAAAACCCATGGGTGCGATTGATACAAGGAAATATTTTTATCGGTGTATCCATAGGAATCGGTGTTCCAAGTGATAATCTATTTGACATAAAAGGATACAAACTGTTCAGCAAATGTAAAATAAGAGAAAGAATGAGGATCAATTTTGACACAAGCTTATTATGATAATTAGCTTGTTAGTTAAGTTATACAGAAATAAGCATTTTTTTTTTTTTAATGAAGATACGACAGTGAGATAGATCGCTTACTGTCTTCCCAGTTCTTTCGAGCGGGCCACTGACTTCACCAGTTCCATAGAAGGACGTGTTTGGAGGAAGCTAAGTAACCAAAAATGAAAACAACAGAATATATAGAGAGTCCATATTTGTGTACACAGACATATATATAGTAAAATTTATAATTAGGTATAGTTAATTTATACCTTGATTCGAACAATCTGTTTTCGGTCTCTACATTCGCTCTTGGGAATGTAGGTGGGGATTGTAGTGGTGTCCTTGATTGTTCTATCCCGTATCAGTTGTTTTTGGAAAGAAAAGCTTGGATACGACGAGACTCTGCCGTGTACTGAGCAATCAAACCGAAATACGCCTTCCTCATGAATCTGATGATAATCCATATCTTTTGAAACACACACCTTACGACCACATTCGTCCATCTTCACTTTCGAGCAACTTCCATTGTCCATTTTTTTTCCTTCTGTACCAAAAAAAAATAAAAAATAAAAAACCATGTCAACAGCAGTCGTGTGGATTGTTTTAATTAAGGGTCGGAAAAATGATAATAGACGTGCAATCAATATCAACAAGGAAGTCATTCATATATATGCACGTGTAGGCGATCGATTGCACGATATAAAATGGTGAAGAAACATGAGGCCATTTCAAGGAACAATGCACAAATGACTAATAAGCAGTATATAACATGAAGTATTTTTTTCTTTAATGAACTTTCAAAGTGAAAAAACTCTGCAGTTTTTCACTTTTCAAGCTCCTTTAACACAGAAAAACTGCAGCCCTTTCGATGATTAGAAAATGAAACATGCTATTTTAGGTAGCTAAAAGAAGTAGGATAATTAATATATGCACCCCTTAGAAAACAAATAAATAATAATTATTTTTTTTTTTCTGTAATAAGAATTGGGTATAATTTACTTTGGATAATTATTATTATTTATTACCTGACCAAAACGGAGGAGAAAATAAAGTTTGGAGGGATGAATGTAGGAAGAAGTTGGGTGATCAACTTATATAGATGGGCCTAAGGCCCACAACCTCAGCTTTAGGCAGGCCCACAACCTCAGCTTTAGGCTCTATTCTTTCGCTTTGGAATATAAACTCTCTTTTCTTTTCTTTCGAAGCTGTCTCTAATTCAAGCCATCAAAGTATCTCATGATCTATAATACCTATCCTATCCACATGGAAATACAGGGCCAACGGATGACATACTCACGTACTATGCATGCATGGACAAATACAGATATAACAAGGGACAATTGCAAAACCAACCCTTAGATTGACTTAATTATAAAAAGACCCATGGCCATATATGTACAATGTACCTGTTAAATTGTTACGTTTGTTAGAATATCACTTATGAGTTGTCCTACATCGTTTATACGTGAAAAATAGGCTCAACTTACAAAGCCCGGTGGGCTCCTCCTCCGATCACCAGTTAGTTTTAGGATGGAACCTCACTAAGACCCATCAAGGTTCGCCATGTTATCAGGGGAGGACGCACTTATGTGTGCCTGGGTTGTAGCCCGGGTGCCATCATTTAATGTCCGACGGAGGTGCAAATTAAAGACACAAATATTATTATATTACCAATTTTTTTTTTTTTTTTG